GGGTTTGTTTGGTTTTTGGGTTTTGGTTTTTTTTTTTTTTTTTTTTTCCTTTTTCAAATCGTAAAGCTCAGCAACATTTTAAACGGATTACACGGAGGAGGGGTTGAAGCTGAAAACCTCATTCATCCTCACTGCGGTCCTATTCATTGCTGAAATAGGTGTAGCGTAGAGCCGGTAAGATCCTCCCCCAGCCCCACTCGTGTTTTGGGGATCCCTTTCGGGCTTTCTCCCTCGCATAGTGGGGTTGGGAGGAGGGGGTTTTCTGCTCTTGAGGTGACAGAAGCGTAATCATAAATCACCTACCTTGTTTGTCCTTCTGTCCTTTGGTCATAGAGGGGCTCCAGCCAGCTGTGTGGTCTCACGTACCGTTGCTCCCGCTGAACAGTTTCCAAGTTTGAGGTAAAAGATCAAATCGCACTTTTCAGGGACTTATTGAGACGCTCAGAAATAAAAAAATAATTAAAAATGAAAATAATAATAAAAAAAATCGTTTAAGGCTATTCAGTCCTACTCATTTTCTCCCACGTGTTTTCACAATTACCATGTATTTGTCTTTCTTTGCTTCAGTTTCTGGCTCAAAGTTGTGGGATTTTTTTTTTTTTTCCAAATAATAATAATAAAAAAAAAAAGTTAGAAGTAATAAATTAGGAGTTAGTTTCTCGTGGTCGAAGCTGAAGATCTTATTTCAAACCCGGCTAGCCAGGAGCCTGGAGAAGTTGCAAGGCAGCGTCTGAAAGTTTGAGAGATGTACAGCATCAGATAAAGTCTCTTTGGTGATGCCTTGCTGACCGAGTAACTGTTTCAATGAGGTTTCTCAGCAGCAGCAGCAGCAAACGGGTAATATTTTCCAGACGTCTTTTTCTTTCCTGCTGCTGCTGCTTTTCTGCCTCCTCCACGTTATGGGGTCTTTTAACAAGTGAGACTTGAGTTGTTTTAATAGGCGGAGGATGGGAAGAAGGAGGGGAGGGAACTCCTGTAAGGAGGAAAAAAAAAAAAAGAAACCAACCCTGCCCATTGAAATGATCTCAGCCAAGGACCAGTTCAGCGGCAGGAATTCAATTAGCTAAGTTGCAAATTTTGGAGAGAAATGCAATACACATATGTTGCCACCACCTGATTTCCTCTTCATGCCCCGCAGTTAGGGGGAAACCCCACTTTCCCCTCTCCCTGCATCTCTAGGCTTTGGGTGTGCGACTCCCTCCCACAGCCACTATTTGGCTGCCATGGTTTTTGCTGCTGCTGGTTTTTATTAATAAGGGAATTGCCTCTATGAATGGATGAACTTTGCAGTTTCCAACCCTGCTTTACCCATTCACTCTCGGAAACATTTGCTGTAGTAAATACCCAAGGAAGCTCCCAGTGGCATTAATACCCACACCACTTGCATTAAAACAAGCCAGGAAACACATTAGACAATTTAAGAACTGGAAAATTGTGGTGTGGTGGGTTGATTTTTTTTTTAGTTTAAAAAAAAAAAAGTTCACTCAGTGCTTTATTGATGGTTTACAGTTAGCCAGGGGCATCAGCAGTTAACAGCACAGCCCGCCGTCTGCCGCCTGCCAGCAGCTTTCACTCGCACGGACGGGCTCCTTCCCTTTGTAACTCCTCTCTGCCTCAAAAGCGGATTTCCCCACTTTCGAGCCCCCGTTTCCACTTGAAATGATGTGAAAAAGGCACTAGGTGGCACTGTTGAAGTGAGAGGAGCACCGCGGAGCCCGGTGACACCCCCGGGCAGGGATGCGCTGCCGGAGCGGGGCCGGTGCGCGGAGCCGGGCTGGAGGCTGCGCTGTCCCGCCGTGCCCTGGCGGGGACCCTTCGGGGGAGGATGCGGGGGGATCAGCTTCTCATTCCCCCGTCCTGTTTTCTCAAGGACTACAAAAGTCGCTGCTTGGAGACGTCGAGACCACAAAGGGGACCGTGTCCAGACACCGTTGAGAAACCCGGTGATGACTCCTCGCCGAGTTATCGCCCATCGTTACCTTCTGATGTGGGAAACTTCGCGGGACTCTGGGGGTTCCTCATGCGCAAGAAATGGTTTGAAGTCGGTGGTTATCTAGATTGGAGAGTTTTTGGGTATCTTGGGGAAGCGGTCAGATTTTCAGGTGTGCTCAGTCTCTGCCAAGGGGAAGAGTCGTTTTCGGAGGTGCATCAAAGCCAAGCTCCTCAAGAAATTAGTCGCCTCAAATAACAAGTCTGCCTCTGGTTTAAGCCAGAGCTTTGTGGCTGTTCTAACCTGGCAGTGCCAGGGAAAGCAGCTGTCTCACTCTCCTCCTGCTTTGGGCTCCTCATTCCTGCCTCCTCAGTGTCCCTTTCTGTATGTTTGGAGAACCAACCTAGGTTAGAAAATAGCCGTTTGGGGAGAGGGAGCAGCAAAAAAGTAAGAACAAGTAACTTGGGCAGGGAGAAGGCAGGACAACTGCTTATGGCAGCAATCTGGTTTATGATGGTTTAGTGTCCTTGTGAAAGCACAACATGGCTTAGCAAGCACAAAGCCTGTCAGGCCTATCAGGTGTTCCTCCGTTTCAGACCTCCCTCCCTAGGCAGCACTGTTCCCATACTCCAACCACCTCCAAATGGTGTGTGTTACAGTACCTTCTTCTACAGGGCCAAGCACGTCTCTCTTGTCAGGCAAGGGGCAAATAGTAGTGTCTTCTCCAAGCAGGTCCAGAGGGTAGAAGGATGTCAAGAGGGCTACTGAAACCCCTGTCTGCACTATCCTTCTTACCACCCACATATGTAGTGTAAACCAGGCTTAGAACGTGATGAACATTTGTCATTCAGCCAGGCAGGACGCGATCACCAAGCTCCACTACCATCACACATGTAACCAAGATCTCGATGTCTGTGTGAGTCCTAAAGCATAACTTCCTGACATCAGACTTTCTCTGGTGCTGCCAGGGGCAAGAGGGGATTAAGTTGCAACACAGATGTCCCAAGTCCGTGCTTGAACACGGGTACCCCTAAAGCTGTGCCTTGGGCAGCCGTTGCTGCCAGCCTCTCTTGGGTCCCCTGGGCACTTGTTTGGTTTGTCTTGATTCAGGGACACCTATGTCCTGCACAGGGGACTTCACATCTAGGATGATTTCTGAAATGAAATTTGGGGGAGGGGGTGGATTTGTTTGGTATTTTTCTTCTTTTTGTAACCAAATGTTACAAATGAACTAATTCAAATGGGCATTCGTTACAAATAAGCTTTTTTTTTTTTAATTCCATTTTTTAAGAGTTTAAATTTTGAGGCTCCATGTCTCCTCTACTGATGACTGTATATTACTTTGGAAATACACAGTGTCCCATTGGCTTAATCCCATGCTCTTTAGGTTTGAACAGGGATCAAGAGACAGAGTCTGGTGAGGCACAAATCTTTGTGTCCTGCTTGTATTACAGGGGGAGCAATAGCAGCAGTTAAATCACACTGAAACTTTGTTTTAGAAAATGACATAATGGGAGTGGTGAGTCTCTCATGTCCACAGCTACTTCCTTCTCAGCCATAGCTCATGTTGTGTGATCATGCTGTCAGGGCAAGCGGGATAACGTAGGTCGCTGAAGCTAGGTTTGCCTACCAGGAAGGAATTAAAAGTAGGAGGATATGATTAATGTCAATCCACGCAGGGCTATAGAAAACAGATGTAGATGTGTTTCATTGGAAGTATATCACATCTACGTTTATATGTTATGTTACATCTACATGGTTACCGTTATCAAACAATCCTGTTTTCTAATTGGACTATATAATCACAAGTAGTGAGGAAAAGGGACTTCTTGGCTGTCAGTGTCCACAGGCATCGATGATCACCAGCAGTAGGAGATTGATCTTAATGAACTAACCTGACCTCATTTTCTGATGAGGTAATAGGTTTGCTTGACAGAGGTCAGACAAAATGTATTTTGGGGGGAGTTTGACATAGGCTATGTTTAAATAGATTGGTTACTGCAGAACAAACCAGGGCATGAATTGGTGGCATGTTTAGCCACTCTCCAGCAGCTACTGAGTACTTGCTTTTATCCTGTGGGGATGGCTCCATGTGCATTTTCTGTGCCTTTTCTTTCCTATCACACTTAAATGTGTCAATTCTCCCCCTCAACATATACCACACACACACACATAAACACATGTCAATCTACTCCCTCACTTGGACCAGCAGAGTTTGCAGTGCTTGACTGATTGCTTCAGTGAACTGTGTTGAAGACAGCCACAAAGCTTGAAAGACGTTTCCTATGTGCATGTATGAACTGGCTGTCCAGGGTGAGGGGAACAGGGTTGTTCTTGGGTGGAAATGAGCAGCCGGTGGTAGCTGGCAGCTGGACTGCCCTAAACAGCATCCTTGGTAGCACTGCTGCCAGAAAAATAAGAAAAGAGCTGGTCCCTCAGTGAAGCTGAGGTGGCTGAGCCCATCCATGCTGAAGGACTCTTCTCTCACATCTTCTCTAAGGTAAGGATTTACACACATTCTTTTATCGCAGATCAGCTACTGCGTGGAGGTTATCAAAAAGAAAGGCAAGAAGCAAACTGTTTGCAACGCACCGTTGTTTTCACAGTAAGAAAAGGAGAGATAATAAGGATCTTTTTCATGTAACAGTGAAAAGCTAGAAGTGGAAGTAGATGTATTCACGCTAGACAGCAGGCACATTCCATAGTGAGCTTTCTTTAATAGTTGTCTGAATGATGCAGGGGAGTGGTGGATTCCTATGTTTTTAAATCCTCTGGATGCTTTTTTGGAAGCTACATTTTCGTTCAATGCAATTTATTGGACCCAGTACAAGAATAACTGAATGGATTTCCATAACGAGGATGTCAGACTAAGCGATCCAGCAGTTCCTTCCATCCCTAAACTCCATGAAACTACCAACAACTGGACTGATGTGTCAGGTGTGTTCCACACCTATTTCCACATTTAGCAGATTGTGCTGGACATGGGAGAGTTACAGAAACTGATATGGATGCAAGTGAAAGCGGAATCATGCCCTAAATTATGATTTTACAGCAACTGAGAATCCACTTGCAGATTTTAATATAAATGTCGTGGGCAGTTTAAGGCTCATGAAGACTAGGTGCAGACAGACCTAAAACTCTGTGGTTGTTTTCACTATATACAGAACCATTTTAGAGGCTGCCAGTGTTCTGGGCATTTAAATCCAAGGTTATTTATAAATGAAGCTTTACAGGATCTGGAGAAAACCACCGGTCTTTAAAATGAAATCACTCTTGCAAAATTGAAACTTTCCAACAATTTCTCTTTCATATAGCAGAGTAAGCCATAACTCGAAGCAACAGTTAGAAGTTAATAGCAGGCAGGTTCAGACTAGAAACAAGTCATGCACATTTGGATGTGTCCAGAACTCTTGGCTAGAATGGACTGTGATTGTCAGCAAAAATGCCCTTCAGGAGGGTTTGAAGTAATGAGTTTTAATGTGTAACCAGCATAGAGTAGAAGTAAAAGCGGGTCAGTTAGAGGTTTCCTTTGTGAAGTCTAATTTAAGAGAAATGACTTAATCTCATGCCTATAGTCTGAAGTGACAGTAGCAAGAGCCCAGTTTAGAACGACTTGATGTTATTTTTAAATAGCAGCATTATGTTCTGTGTAGGATCCACAGATAACACCACATAAAACAAAGAGCACATGCAATTGAAAGATAGATCTACAAACAATGACTGTGCTAGTAAACTAAGCTGACCAGAGCCAGGCAGCTCACGGTTGGCACATGTTCATCCATGCTATTTCACTGCTGCCCAGCTCCTGGCAGGGCTGATCCTGACCAGTCTGGAGAGCCTGACCGTTCCTGAAGACGACCAGTTCCTCACTTGGGAGAATGTCGTGGCTCTCACCAGAATGTCGGGCTCCTCACAGATACATTCCTGTGTGTTCCCATC